TCATTAGAGCCTGGGCTGGCCTTGAACTCACTGTGTAGCCAAGGCTAGCTTTAAACTCCTGACACTTTTTGCCCCCACTTCCCAAGTGCTAGTATCACAGGTATGAGCCACTGTGCCTGGATCAATGGTAAATGTTACATCAGATGTGTTTTTACCACAATTTTTAAAAATATCCAACTATAGGTCAAACTACAGTGCCCACCAGATCAAATTCATCATAACTTTTTCTCTCCTTAAAATGTGATTTGCAGGCCCAGGAGATGGCTTAGTGAGTGAAAGTTCTTGCTGGGCAAACCTGATGACCTGGGTTTGAAACTGATTCCCAAAAGTTGTCCTGTGACCTACAAACACACACACACACACACACACACACACACACACACACTGTGGCACACACTTACATATCATAGACATACAACAATGATAACATTTAAAAATAAATACTTTTTTTTTCAGGAACTGTAATCTGGGATGCCCAATAATCATTCCTAAATCAGGATGGTTTATTTCTTGATTATCTGCTTTGTGTCACGTTGTCTTAAACAAATATGATTTTAGGTGAGCCATCCCAAGCAGGACATAGACTTAGTTTTCCATTGGGCCATAGTTGTCAACCAAGTCAGTGGGTAGAGCTGGTATGGTGTGAGAGATGAGCATCCAATGTCTCAAGTTATGTTGCATTCCTGTTTTTCTTTACGGAACCTCAGAAAATGCCCAGGCTCCCCTATTCCCATATTTTCTCAATAGGGCCCAGCCTCCTACTGGGCCAGCAGGTCAGAGGGTGCCCTCCGGGGGTGCGTGTGCATGTTCTCTGCATGCGTGTGCATTTCCTGTTGCATGTGTGTGGTGGACTTGAGGGAATGGGATGGGGGAACTTGTTCACTTAGGAGGAAGATTTGAGTTCTGCATATTTCATGGTGGTTCTTCCTCTGTGAAATAAACTTGGACTGTTTACTGATGCCAGAACTTAGCCTCTCTACAAGAATCCAAGACTGACACAGGATTGACGCCCGTGGCCTCCTAAGTGCACCAAGTGTGGGAGGCGTTTTTTACCTTGTATGGTAATATAATCCCAAAACCTTTCCCCTCTGCCTAGACCTGGGAAGGCCTGCTGGACGGTCTCCACATACCTGAAAATGTGTTTTATGTGCTGCTAGGAGGGGCTGGGCACTGGGAGCTCCTTGGGGAAGAAGGAAGGCTTGGGAGATTGCTAAGGATGGTAGACTCCCAGGAGAGAACAGTGGTGACTGCGCTTTGGAAGGGAGTAATAGGGTTCCTCTGTTCCAGCCTCCACCATGGGGTGAGGGGGCTGCCCAGCCCAGGTTTCCTGGATAGTTCTTTTCTAATGTTTTAGACACTGAGCAATATCTGCATTGGGGATGCAGCTGGTCCTGGCTCTGATTTCTGTCACATCCACTTGTGGGTTGTATACTGTGTTCTATAAAATTACACTTTATACGAATCTGTCCACATTGAGAGACTCATCACTGTAGCCAGAGCTAAAGGAGAAAAGAACAGTAGACTGTACCTTCTTAGTGTTTGTCGGATAAAATAAGGGTAGTGTTATTTCCATGAGAGCTTTAGTAGCTGAGCACCAGGCTTCTGCTTTATGTGTCAGTCAAGCGTCCAGCAGCCCCAGTGGGCTTGGTAATGCCATCTTCCTAGGAGAAACCAAGGATTTTAAGTCATTTCTCCAAGTACATCCAACTAGTAACCTAGGACCCTGAAGGAGAAGTGCTATGATTTCAAGGCCAACCTGGGCTACATAGTGAGTACCAGACCAATCAGAGCTACATAACAAGAGTCCAGCTCAAAAAAATAACAATAATAACAAAAAATAGGACCCTGGGATTTGAGCCCAGCTATGGCTGTACCCACCCTAGCACCCATAATGTAGACTCAAGTACATAATAGAGAATCAGACAGAAAAACAATAAGCTGATTGCCACTACCACTATCCATTTGAAAGCTCCCTGCTGTGCAGAGCAGAAATTCCTTTCATGGAATCATTAAAGGAGACTGAGGAGGATATATATGCTTTCCTGGGTTCACCAGAAAGGCCCACAGTCCCTGTTATGAGTGGGAACTATGAGGCTGTTGGGGCCATTCAAGAACTCTGTCAAATGTCCCCATGGCCACAGCGCGCCTAAGCTTTGTCTTCTAGTGCTATGTAGGCTCAGGTGCAGGCCTCTGCAGGAGAAAACTCAAAGCATGGTTCTGCTCTTCGATGTTTTAAAATAAATACTAGAAAGTAAATTAGGCTATAACATAAACAAGTGGGGTTTTTATTTTGCTTTCATATTAGGGTATAATTATAATTATATATATATATACATACATATGTATGTATATAGTAAAATACACTTGACTTTGTTTGGGCCACCAAACAAGAACACCATAGACTAGGTGACTTAAATAATAAATATGTATTGCTTACAGCTCTTGAAGTTGAAAAGACCAAGTTCAAGATCATAGAATAAGGTGCTGGCAGATCTGGGTCTGGTTCACAGATGGGCATCCTGCTAGATCCTCAGATGGCAGAGAGAGGGAGGAAGCTCATCTGTCTGGTCTTATGGAAACACTAAATCCCATTCACAAGGACTCCACCTTCCCAAAGACCCCACCTCTTCATGACATCCCATTGAGGGTTAGGATTTGAGTCCGAAAATTTGAGGACACAAACAGCAGGTCTATGAACAGATCATAGTTGCATGAGTTTTGACAAACAACCCAGTCAAGATGTGGAGCTTCTCCATCTCCCTAGCAAGTTCTCCTATGCCCCTTCCCAGTCAAACCTGGCCAACACCCTCCCCCACTCCCCAGTTTGTTTGGACATTGGACTCCTCACCTCTGAAGAAGGAGACAGGAAAATCCAAATGGGGCTTTGATGATGGGCCCCAAACTACGTCATACCTCCTAGCATTTTGTATGTGTCCTGCAGCCCTTTCCCTCGTCTCATTTCTGTTTGGTGGGGTGGCCTCTTACAGAAGTGCTAAAATAGGATGGGTCTATACATCCACGAAAAATAAATGACGTGGCCTGGCTCCAGGGTTCACTCTGTCACACTCAACGACTCACACTTTGATACTTTGAGGAACTGAACATGGGCATCATAATCAGAAACTGGCTATATTTCCCTCCCTTTATAAACCACTCCATACATTCAGAAATGACATAATCTATGCCCCTCCTCTAAGTTCAGACAGTTTCGGTGACAGCTCCTCCCTGCTGGGTGCAGAACACTGCTCTTTCTCATGTTTCATGCCTTCCAATGTACAGGCCTGAGCTCATGAAACACACTCAGCTGGTAAGTGGGCAGACGTTCCAGTTCATCGCACACCCTTCCTATATATCCTCCTCGCTGGCAAAATGCTCATTGTTCTTCCTGTATCCTTACCGTGAAAGAACACTAGAACTGTGCTGCTTGTTTCGTGCAGGTTAGGATCAGTCATGTACAACAAAGCATCCTTAACTCAGAACTTAGCTGATCCTACTTAAATATTCCCCAACGACTTGGAGTAGAGAGTCATGCAAGTCTCCAAAAGCATGAAAGTTTCTGTTTAATTCATGTAGTTTCGATTTAAGCATCTAATAGAGAATTTCAGCTGATAGAATATCAGATGTGATCTTCTCATGTTAGCATACTCCTGCATAGGGTTTTAATGATTCCAGGTAGGCGACGGGTACTCAGAACCAAGTTTCAGGATGAAACATTAACTAGGAAATTGAACATCATTCAATTCAGCTCTTAAAGTAGAGGTAGAGGTAAGAGCACAGACATTAGAATCTGCTGTATCGGGTTCAGGTCAGAGCTTAGTTACCCATGAACTGTGTGGCCTTGAGCAAGCTGCTGACTACCCAGAACCTTAATTGCCTCATCTGTGAAATGGGGCTAAGTTAAAAATCACATCCCTTTGTTGTGCAGACAGATGAAAATACACATGGAGGGCCCCACAAAGCATGGCATGAGTGGCTGTGGCCTACTTGCATTTCAAAAACAGCATTAGAAACAACAGTAAATTTACAACCCCAACAACCAAGTGAGACCCATCTAGGGTCATGCATTCTCAGGAAGAAAGGCATCTACTCATCACCACCACCACCAGTGCTGGGCATGGAACCCAGAGCCTTGCTATGCTAGACAAGCATTCAACATCCCCAGTCCTTGTTTTTTTGAAATAAAATCTCACTAAGTAGCTCCTGCTAATCTTGAGTTCACAGTCCTCCTAAGTGCTGGGATTACGGGTGTGTATCACCAGGCCCAGCTCAGAAATGTATCTTAAGCTCTCTGATTTAGTTAGGGCATCCACAGGATGATGGTGGCCCAGACAGTGGCCAGAGCTCTGGGAACCCCTTGGTACCCAACAGAGCAGCTCTACTTTATGTATTCTGTACACCAACATCTGTGACATCTTTTCTGTGAAGTGTTGCTCTGAAAGCTATGAAACTACTAATTTAATCCAAGACCCATCCTTTCATAGGCTAGGAAAGCTGAAAGCCTAGTGGTTTTCTTAGGTTCTCAGAAGTCATCTCCTGACTCCCAAGCCTGTCCATTCTCAGATCTCCTCCTGTCAAATATGGAGACAATGAAGCGGAAGGAAGTGTGAACAGCTGCTCACCCTTCACATAGATGCATCCAATTTCTGGACACAAAAGCACCTGGAGAGAAAGAAAATAATTTTATCCCGGACCATGGCTCAATGTGGAGAATCTCTTTTAGTGGTGGACAGTTGTGGGTGGCGGGGTCCTCATATCTGTGATATAACCTGGAAGCGCTTTCCCCTCTTCTGATGGGGAACAGCTGTTCCAGCCTAGTGGCTTTTGCTCCATCACTGGCCACTGGCCACATCTACCCCCAGGGATCAATGTCTCGCAGACTTGCTCATGTAAGCAAGCCCCAATGGCAGCAGGTTCCCCTCCCTTCTAGCAGTAAAATACTTGCCAGGTCACCATCCACTCAAGGCTCAGTCTCTCACTTTCCTGCAACCTCTGTTTTGCAGCCTCTCAACATTGCCTATAGCCACATCTACAGCTCCTACAGGAACTTCGTGGGACCCCCTCACTTTAAGACCATCTGCAGACTGCTGGGTTACCAGGGCATTGCTGTGGTCATGGAGGAGCTGCTGAAAATCGTCAAGAGCTTGGTAAGGAGAGGCTTGGGTGCAGCTGAGGACATGCCCAGGGAGGGTAGATGTGCACAGGATTGGCTTGCTCTCTATCTGGGCTGAAGAACAAATCCCTGGTGCTCCAGCTCTGCCTCTTGACCTCACCCTGGGAGTCCATGGTCCTGCTCTCGGAGGTTCTTTCAATCTTCTGCTGAGCCTCCATGTAGCTCTTGATCTTTCCTTTTACCTCCTGTTTCTTGGTTTTGAAACAGTCCTTGCTTTTGATGACAGAACTGAACAATCCTGATTCTGACCACTAGGTCTAATAGCTATTCATTCTGCCCAGCTGTGCACATTAACTAATTTATCGTGGCAGACTAGGGGTTGCAGCTTAGTTGGTACAGTCCTTGCCTAACGTGTACAAGACCCTCATTTCGATCCCCAGCACCCCATAAAACTGGGCATGATGGTGTTTGCCTGTAATCCCAGCACTTGGGAAGTAGAGGCAGGAAAATCAGAAGTTCACAGTCATCCTTTGGCAGTGTAGTGAGGTTGAGGCCAGCCTGGAATTCATAAGACCCCATTTAAAAAAATAGCATGGAAAATCCTCAACACATGCTGCCATTTTGTTTAAGGTTTATTTATTTTTATTTTATGTGTCTGTTTGCTTGCATGAATGTATGGGTACCATATGAGTCTCTGGTGCCCCAGAGACCAGAAGAGGGTATCAAATAACCTACCTGTGTGCTGGATAGCGTAGTTGTCAAATTGACACACCTGGGAAGAGGGGCCCTCAATTGGGGAATTGCTTCTATTGGATTGGCCTTGTGGGCATGTCTGTGAAACATTTTCTTGATTGTTGAGTGATATGGGAGGGCCCAGCCATTATAGACGGTGCCACCCCTGGGCGGGTGGTCCTGGGTTGTATAAGAAAGCAGGCTGAGCACAGGCCAGAGAAGCAAGCCAGCAAGCTGCATTCCTCCACAGTCTCTGGTTCAGTTTCTGCCTCCAGGTTCCTGCTTGAGCTCCTGCCCTGGCTTCGCTTGATGAAGGACTGTCCTGTAAGCTAAACACACCCTTTCCTCCCCAAGTTTCTCTGATCATGGTGTTTATCCCTGCAATAGAAAGATAACTAGGACAATTTAGAACTAGAGTTACAGATGGTTAGGAGCTACCATGAGGGTTCTGGGAATCGAACCCAGGTCCTCTATAAGAGCAGCCAGTGCTCTTAACTACTAAGCCATCTCTTCCACATGCTGCCATTTTTTCATTCCCATGACCATAGCAGACATCTCTAATCAGTCGCCACACATGGCCCCCTTGGGATTCCTTGCTGATCACCATTACCAATATTGTAGTGGCTATAAGGGAATTCTGTATCCCTTTACCACCATTTTGTGTCTGCCCCAAGTATGGACATCTGAATCCTTATTTAATTCCCTGCAAGGCTGTTGACAAGGCCATGGCATTTAAACACAACTCACCTGGATATCTGAGTGCCTAAAAATAATTTATACCCAGCCAGGTAGGAAGAAGTAGGACTCCTGTGCCAAGTCTTGGTCTTTCGAAGCAGCTATGTTATGAAAAGCTACAAGTCATTAAGGACTCCCATGCCAAGTCTAAAACAGGAAAATGTGGTAATTGATTAAAGATGTCTGCCTTGGACTCAGGAAGGAGGAATGTGCTGTGACTTTTCCATGCTTAAATTAGATAATGTGCCTTAATCTCCACAGTTCCCTGCCTACATTTCATTTAGTCTCCATCTCATAAGCATTCCCAACCCTGGAAAAACCCCACACCTAGAAATGTATCCTCCTTAAAGTCTATAAGCCCAAGGGCAGTGCTGCACTGTGGCCCAGCTTTCGACCCAGAGATGCTTATGTGGAGCAGTAATGGGCTAGCTCACTCATCTGCACTCTTGTCTTGCAGCTCCAAGGCACCATTCTGCAGTATGTGAAGACACTGATAGAAGTGATGCCCAAAATCTGCCGTTTGCCTCGACATGAATATGGCTCTCCAGGTGGGTGACAAGAGAAGAATGCAGTCCTGCCAAGGAGAGGCAGGGCTCTGGCCATTTGCCTCACGTGGTTTCAGTCTCTAACCTGCCTGTAAGCAGACATGTCCAGCTTTGCCTGCTGCTGACTAGATATCCTTGAACCTGTCTTAATCCCTCTGAGCAATAGAGTCATCCTCGATCAGGGGAGGTAAATAATGCCCATGAGGTCACCCTGTGGGCCAACTGGAGGATGCAGTGTTTAAACATCGAATAGAAGGTTTACATATAAGGTCTTCAGCCCCTCTAGGAGACTTTCACGTGTGCCCATTGGGAGGCTGGTACCCAAGGTGGAGTGCCAAGTGACATAGATAAACTGAGGCAGGAAATAGATTTTTTTTCTCCCCACTAAGTATGGGGAAAGATGGAAGCTGTAAAATTGGTACCCCATATTTTTTGTTTCGAAAAGCTAAGATAAAATTTTCTGGGTCAGTATGATGGAGAACAGGAAAGGATGGACTGAGAGCTGTGGTAGCCCAGCCCAGCTGCTTCCTTACAAAAGCTGTGTAGATGTGTCACTGCCTCTGAACCTCATCTGAAAACAGAACCAATAGTGACTACTTTATATTGTTATGAGTAATAAATGAAAAATGTAGATAGAATCCTAACTCAGAATATAACACCTAGAAATAGTAATTCCTATCAGGAATTCAGGTCCCTTTATGGAGGGATAGATGGGGCCATGGCTGCTCCATTTGGGCTTATGGGGTGTTTTGTTTTGCCCCAGCCAGCCTCCTGAGGTTTTGTCTAGTATTGATCTTTGCATGGAATCCCACCCTTGGGCCTACGTATAGAAGGTTGCATGGTCTAGGGCTGTGGCTTATTTGGCATGTCCCATAAACCTGGCTAAACAGTGTCAATGTCACACTGATAATCATCCTCCATCTCTCAGGGATCCTGGAGTTCTTCCATCACCAACTGAAGGACATCATTGAGTATGCAGAGCTCAAAACAGATGTGTTCCAGAGCTTGAGGGAGGTGGGCAATGCCATCCTGTTCTGTCTCCTCATAGAGCAAGCTCTGGTAAGTACTGCACCCACAGGACTCATGATGTCTCCAAGCTGGAGGGAACCCCACACACCCAGATGCCGAGGCCAGACATGTGGTCTTCCATTCCTGAGGGTCAGAAGGCCAGAGGGAGAAGTGGCTGTAGGACCCCAGAGACCCAGGTTCCAGCCCTAGCTGTACCCCTCACTAACTGGACCCAGACTTCAGTGCAGGTAGCCAAGTCTTAACTACCCATTGCCTATTGAAACGCTCAGAAGACCAGCACTGTGCTGGGGGAAACAGTAGTCACCAGTCCCTGCCTGTATCCTGTGCATATTTGTGGCCTAATGCCACAGGTTTGTGTCTTAGTGACATAAGCACAGCCAGGGCATGAAAGAGGAAGGGGTTACCTGCAGCAGATGAGGGCGCTGGAGTCATTGCCAGAGCAGTTCTCTCCCAGAACAAAGAAAGCATGGGGATTTCCTTGAGGGAACCTATGCATACTCCTTCAGGGCCCAGCCTTTCTGGTGTCTGCTCAGTTAAGGGCTGTTCCTGAGTTTGCTCGGTTTAAGGTCATAATTTTAAAAGTAGACACATTTTGGGGTGTGTTTAGCTCAGGGTCATGGAGCACATGTGTAAAAGATTTTTAATAAAATTAAAACGATGGACAGAAATGCCTCTGGGCAGTCTCAATGTGAACCATAAAGTTTTAGTTGGAAATAAAGTAAAACATTTTAAAGGCATATTAACACAGGAGTCTGTCCTTGAAGGTGCCTGCCTGCCTTAGTGGCTAGCATGTTGCCAGAGAAATGATGTTTACAATGGCACCAGTACAGTGAGGGGCAAGCACAGGCTCCAGTGTGGTACAGGGACTGAAGGAGGGCTTGCCTGCAGAGTGGCCTGGAGAATGAGTGGGAATTTCTCTGTGGAAGCTGTTCATCATGAGGGAAAGAGCACCAGTGTTATCTGCAGTGCTTGTGAGGGGAGATAAAGGAATTAACCTGATGTCAGATTTAAAGGCCGAACAGAGATAGTGTGTGTAAAGTATGCAGTAAGAGCTTAATAATTAGTAGTCGCTATCATAAGGAGCCTCCCTCCTTGGATGGTGACTGGGTGGAGGCAGGAAATGGAGGAGAGTGGCACTTTGGGGCTGTGGGCTCTCTGGGTACTATAGGGTACACCTCATCCTCCATCTGCTCACACAGTGTATGCTATGGAGAGCTGACTCACTGCCAAATGCAGCTCTAGGGTGTGGATAATGCCATGAATAAGAGACAGAGCATTGCCATTTTATTTCGGAGAGGGAGATAAGCAGAGGCCTGTCAACAGTGTGACACAGATGGGGACAAGCAGGCTAACAGCAAGGATGGAGCAGCACTGTGGGGAAGGGAGGATGGAACAGAAAGAACCCAGAATGTGAGGAACAGAAAGACAAAGGGAACAGAGCCAGCAGCTGAGGGCTAGAGGCAGCCAGGTGACAGGTAACCAACAGGGCCTCTGGCTTTCAGCCACTGCCAGAAGCTTTTGGGGGCTTGTGAGCAGGAGTGGGACTTTTTCAAAGGCCCCATTGGCCAGTAGGGGAATAAACAACTGAAGAGAGAATGAAGGACACGGATATTTGCAGCCCAGGTCCATGGAGGAGGCAGGAGGGGAATAAGGACATGCAAAGGTGAACACAAAAGGGAGCAGTAACAGGAAGAGCTGCAGGGTAGGAGCCCACAGGCCCCAGTGTCACCCCAGGTGAGCCTGGGCACGCCATGCCATCCATCCTCACCCTTAAGGGACTTGATCAACCACTCTCAGACCTCACCGCCTGTGTCAGAGGTGCTGAAACGGTACTGCGGAGCCATCTCTGTGAGAAGTAATTGTGTTCCCTTTTAAACGGACTCTGGAGACAGCTAATGGCCTCTTCCTGATAACAGGTTCTTAACATGGTTCAGTGGGCCTGGGTTGCTATAGCAACATAGCCTTCAGAAGTCACAGAAATAGGTAGGAAAATATGTTCAGGGACCCAAGGGCACCAGGAGAAGGTGGAGGAGGGGAGGGTATATTCACCTCTCATTTCAAGAGAAGCTGTAACTGAGAACCTCAGTTCAGATCAGGAGGCCAGGCCATCATAGGAGGCAAACTCATGGGACAATGTTTCCTGGCTCCCTCTGGGACATCACTAAGGACAAAAAGATACTCAGGATCCAAACTCTTCTGGCTGAGAGACCCACCCCGTCTGTTCATACATGTGGAAGTGGGGAGCCAGAGAAACGAGCAGTTCACAGGCCACAGGACGTGGGCAGCAAAGGCAAAACTGAACCCCAGGTGTCTGAGCTGCCCCCAGTGCTGGGTGGCTGGGCCAGTGCGATGACACAGGCAAGAACTGGAGCAACCCAAAGCTGGGTACTCTGCTTTCTGCTTTTACAAGTGGGGAAACCTCCAACTCTGAGATGACAGTAGGGCTTGAGATTTCCAGAGCGCTTCAGTTTAGGACATGGGAATTGAATCTTTAAGGGGTAGAACAGTTGTTCTTATTAAAAAGGGAGGAAGGAAGGGAGGGAAAGGAAGAGACGGGAGAGAGGAAGAGGATGAGGGAGGGCAGGAAGGGTGGGGCTCGTGGCCCTCCACGGAGGAGTAGCTGTGAAACTGTGGACCATCCGTTCTGGGAGACGGAAGCAGCTAAAGAGAATAAGGAGATAAAGTTTTCACTTGTTAACACAATAAATGGAGAAAGAATGTCACACGAGAAAAGCAAGTTCCTAGCAAGTTACCACGTGGTAAGCCAGGAGTGGTGGCGCATGCCTTCAATCCCAGCAGGCCAGAGGCAGATGGATCTCTGTGAGATCGAGGCCAATCTGGTCTACGTAGTGATGTCCAGGTCTGCTGGGGCTACAGAGACCATCCTGAAAAAAAACAAAAACAAAACAACCATTGTGGTTTCATAGATGAAAAATAAACTAGGCCTTCAAAGTAACACTGCGCTGAGGGAAAGGTGTAGGAAATCGGCACCTGGAGTGGTCAGCTGCCATTCTTCTGTGTCCGGGAAGACCAGTCAGCAGGGCTGTTAGTCATAAGAAAAATGACTTAGTTTCCTATGATTTGTTAGTACTGGCCTAAAAATAAGTTCAAAATAGTAATAATAAGCACTAGCTTTGAGAAAAATTTAAAAATCTTCATGGAGCAACTGAGAAGTCCTTTCTCGGGTTTCTTTTGTGCTGGCAGCCTTTTTCTGAACTATCCACTAGATGGCAGGAGCATCCACCCCCCAGTATGACCACAAAGGCTCCAGAAACTGTCCTCTTTTGGAGGACAAAGCCTCTCCCTATGGACGGTCACTTATCTAGGGCAATGCCATATTTTGCAGATGGCAACACTAGTCATTTCCAGGCTGCTTTCCAAATTGGTTGTGTTCATTTTTTACTCTCACTGAGCAATGCAAGGGAGTTTTAATTTCCTCACATCCTCATGAACCATTGAATTTGTCTATCTTTAATCAGAGCCGTTGGAGTGGGCATGCTTTGGCACGGCATTATGGACTTTAGGGTGGTGATTTCCCTAGGGTTATGGCTAGCACAGGAGATGGGCTCAGAGTGCAGAGGCTCCCCTCTGAGACACCGGGAGTGCATAGTGGGGTGGCTAGGGGGTGGGTACAGAGGGCTGGGCAGCCACCAGCTTTGCTCTGCTCATCATTCTGTGGCTGAATGATGCACCCCACATCCGACCTTCCACCTCCTGCTTCCACTTGATAGTCACTTTACTTACCCTCGCTCACTGCACAACTGAAGTAAATTCCCTTTCAGAAAACCCAGAGAAGCAGAAACTGCTCAACAATCACACTGTTATGCTAAGATAGCCACTGCCCACTTCCCAAAAGATGTTTTCCCAGATGTTTGTACGTGAAGCTTTCTCTTCTAAAGTTGGTGACTCTGTCATAAAAATCTTATTAACCAAGCTAGAGAGAGTAGTTGCTTCTGCGAAGTGTGGTGGGAACAACGGGATCTCCCACCTTTTATTGTACATTCTCAATTGTTTGAATTTCCTGCAACATAGTTGTATTTTCTTTAAAAGGAAATACTACACACACACACACACACACACACACAGACCACAACCACTACCACAGCCCTACACATACATACATACCACACACCCACACATATACCACACCCACATACATATACAGCACACACACACACATCAATACATACAGATCCATCACCACATACACACATTCTATATATATATAATATAGATGGATGGAAAGTTAAAATCAAAGTCCACCCTTGACTGTCCAGCTCCACATTCCTCCTCGTAACTCTGGATGGCCTTGTTCTTGAGAAAAGCCTCCAGCGATGCAGGCAGTGCATCCCATCCCTTTACATGGCAGCCCCAATCCATGCCCCTCAGTGTTCTCCTTGGTTGTGCCTTTCTAGGCCAGGTCACGACCCTGACAGAAAGGAGCCAGGCTCTGTGTAGCAGAGGCCTCTGGCACTCTCCAGAGCCCCTCCATTGCATGGCTTGTTGGTGTTAAATGTTTCAGGCGTAAACTAAAACAAAGCTCCTGGGGTCACCCACAGGCCCAGACCTGGCCAAAGAATCTGGGAAGAGTTGATTTACCTGAGCATTCCCAGTGGCTGGGCCCTGCAGAAGGCTCCTGGGCTCAGAGGTGACTATAGTTGCATCCTCAATGGTACTGACCCCTGTCCTCCCACCCAGTTGTCAACATTGAGGACTGGCCCTCCACAGGGGGCAAAATGTCAGGGCTTTTAACTACTTACTTACAAAATAAGAAATCTGACTATGTATTAAAAATATTTTGTTACTTTTATGTGTATGAGTATATTGCCTGTGTGTGTGCAAGTGCACCCACGCCATGCACACAGAGGTCAGAAGGTGTCAGATCCCCTAGAACATGGCAGTTGTTAGCTGCCGTGTGGGTGCTGGGAATTGAAACTGGGTCCTCTACAAGAGCAATAATTGCTGAGCCATGTCTCCAGCCCCAACCCTGGTTATTATACTCAGTTTTGATAATGATGGCTAGAACTGGT